CAGGGCGTCACTCAAACCCCGCCCCCAGAACGTCTCCCGAATCAAAACGTCACACAACCCGCCCACTAGGGGTGGGCAGTACATAGTCATCACCGGTGTGACAATGCGCAACGACATGAATTTTCTAATACCGTCAATACCGTAATAAATCAGTTATATGCGGCCGAAATTTTATATATGCAACCTCATAATATATTTGGGAGCATTTGTGCGACTGCATATAATAGTTGTAGCGCGACCTGTTTTGATTTTTTTCTAAAAACGTGCTGAATCGCTCTTCCCTGCCACTGTAATGGATTATATTATATATCTGTCAATCACTCAAGGCTTTCCGCTGTCAGATGACAGGGAGCTTTTGTGACCGTCGGGAATGCAAACGGCAGAAAAGTGAAAAGTATACAGGTTTGCAAACCTCACCTAGTTATAATAATAATAACAAAGGCGCACACATTGTTGATAACCCTGCAAATCCAGACCTTATCTATTAATGATTAAGCATGGACATTTAAAGGACAACTTATCCTTGCGCTTATGCGTCCACGACTTCACACGTTACACAAAGTGTGTGCAGTGTACAGTACTTTACCTTATGTCACTCTCTTGGCAATGCATATTGGGGACGCATAAAACCCTGTTATGTGCGATTCTTTCATATTCACGAGTCCTGACCTTAATCCGCTGGTCAGGTAATCAAAATGTTGGCTACTTGATGTTTAATTATGGGTGGGTCGCGGGTTTCAGACAGGCCTTTGTAAAATGACAGTTTAATATGGCTTTAAAACGGTTTGATTTATGTAGGCTATTGTATATGCCTACATTGGTTTAGCTTTTGTTAGTTTTATATTGGTTTATTTATTTAATGCGATTTTATTATACCCGATATTTGTAATTCTTTAAATTATTTCAATATAGCTTGGGCTATTTTATGAAGATATGACACTATTGTTTTGAGCCTACAAAAGTGGACTTGAAATATGTAAAGTTTCATGTCTTTCTGTTGTATTCATATTGTGTATTATCTCCAAAATATTAAAAAGTAAAAAGCAGCGCGGCATCAACAGAGCTGTGAAGGAAGAGCTCTTTCGCTCAGTCTCAGACACAGGCATCTAAATGCGCACAAACACACATTTTAAACTTGACAAAAACTCTCGGCAACCTTTACTGTCTGCTGTGTCTTTAATATGGTGTAAAGATTATTATGCGTTATTGAAACATCAAGGAGGACGCAGCAAAGTCACTTATCAGTTAAAACTTTATTATTTTATGCAACAGCCTTGCATTTGAAATGGAAACATAAGGTCGATCATACACAAAAAGACCCCAGCATATAAGGCTGGATAATTTCTTTCCCCTATTTATTTATTTCTTTGGCGCATGTACTCGTTTGCGATCGTAAAACTGTGTCCGCACTCCGCCTCTCACTCTGCCCCGAAGCCCCAGTTGGCCCTCTTTGGCCCAAGGTATTTGGCGGGCAGAAAAATGCCGGCAGCTGGCCCCAAGAAAGCCCCGATTTTGCCCGATCAGGCCCCGGAAGTGACATTAGAAATGCGACTGGCCTTGGCTCGCCCTGGCTCGCTCACTTCAGGTGCGATAGTGGAAACGTGGCTATTGGTACCTCCGGGTAGACGGCTGATAAGAGACCACATAAACTAACTCTCCTTTGTGGCCTTTAACAGCATCTGTCAGATTTTTAATCTGACCTGTCATGTCATGGACTATTATTTCCAGTTTGGGTAAAGTTACAAAAATATTCATCAATAATGTTTTGATATTTACAATCAGTCATACATTTTTTTTGTTGTTGTAACAAAGATAGGAAAATAGTTTTATTATAAATATAAATTGAGTAAAAGCCATAAAAAACAACAGCAGTAAATGCTTAAATGAATTTAATGACAAAAACATACTGTGTATATCTGTGAATAATATAACATGTTATGGTAAGCTGGTTAGAGTAAACCTTTTGTCTATTTTCTCCCAAGCAAAACATGGATGTAGGTGCCAAAGTAGAGTTCATCAACTTTTGTCTTGATTTCTTGGATTAACTCATCATCCCTCCATACTCTCTCCACAGTGAAGTCACCCCTGCTATCTGTTACCAGATTGCACCAAGCTAAGCCAGTGACCATCATCTTTCCCTGGATTTGCCAGTGGTAGGCATGTGATTTCTTTAATTTTGCTTCACCCTCTTTAACTGCCGTGTGTGATGCAGTAATTTAAGGGTGCTTTCACACCTACACTTTTGTTTCGGAACGTGTCTCGTTTGCCCAGTTAGCGCGGTTCGTTTGGCATATGTGAACAGGGCAATCTCGCTCTGTTCCGCGCCAAAGTAATCGCTCCGAGATCGCTTGAATGAGGTGGTCTCGGCTCGATTGAAACGAACCCTTGAGCGGTTCGATTACAGTGAAAAATTACAGTGTCTATTGACAGCTTAGCGAGACGCTGCAAAATAAACCCTGACACTCTGACCAATGTGAGGAGAGTTTACTCGCACGTGATTTGTTTTAGCTCTTTTGGTCCGATTAGAAATTTTGCAATGTGAAAGCGAACCGCACCAAGAGCAAAGAGCAACAATGTAACAATTGTAATCTCTGTTTCGGAACAACTGAATCGATTCACAGGTGTGAAAGCACCCAAGTCTAAACTGTTGCTTTAAACTGAGATTGTCAAAGTTTGAACAGTCTCAAAGGGTGGTCTGCAATCTTGACTGTACCAGGGAGGAATATTTGTTGTATTACTATATGATATTGTAGTATGAAACAACTTATTGTCTAACAGTAAAACCTTCTCTGTGGTTCCATTTGGCTGAACAGGCTCCACAAATTAGTGTTAAATCATAGTAAACATAGTATATGGCACTACTGGGTCGTCAAAGGGATTCCTTCAGCCAATAATGAATATTCTGTTATCTTTTTCAGCCCTTACTATGAGTTTCTTTCTTCTGTTATACACAAAAGAAGATATTTTGAAAAATGCTGAAAACCTGTAACTATAGGGTATATGCCGAGCTAGTGTTTTTCCCATACTGATAAAACTTCCGGTGACCTGTTATTGTGATTTATTTTTTTCCAATTTACACGACTCCTTTTCCAGCATGGATGTTGTAATGTCATTAAAATACATTCAGTTAAATAAACTTTGGCATTCATTTAGTTGCTCAAACGTAAAACGAGACAAAAAGCTTTTTACTTGCACGCGCCCGTCAGAATCGGCAGGCTAGCGCAGCTCCATTGAATATACTGGGGTAAAATAAATGCTCATATCATAAAGACATGACAGGGAAAATGTCATTTAATGCAGTGCTTCTTGTACAATCTGAGACCCACTTTATATTGGATATCTGTCAGCCAGTGGAGATCGCTGATTTTAAAAGAAAACTGACCTTAAATGTGCAGATTTTTTCATTGGCATACAGTTGACTGAAAGCAAATAACCCAGGTTACTGACAAAATCAAAGTCCTATTAACATGCTTCGGCATATACCCTATCGACTTCCATTGTGTTTGTTTTCCTACTGTGGACATCAATGGTTACAGGTTTTCAGATTTGTATCTTCGTCAGTGTTTAACAGAGGAAAGAACCTCATCGGTTTGGAAGCACGTGAGTAAATAGTTGAGGGAGAACTCTCTCTTTAATTGAGAAAGGAGTCATTTAGAAAACTCACAGAAATGATGATCACAGCTTCAGTTTGATTCACAGGATTTTATTTGACTTATTAGCCAACAATACATAAAAGCAGTTCATCACAAAACAATTCAAAGAACAATTAATTACAAAACAATCATGAACACTTCATTATAAAACAATCAGTCTCTCTTATGACAGAACACCAGATTCATTAATGAGGGAGAAAATAGTCGAGCAGATCTTTGATGACACTTTAGAGGAGAAAACTGTGACAGCACTGGAGTTGAAGTTCAGTTCAGTTCAGTGTGGTTTAATTGTCACTGCTGAAAGTCCAAACACTGAAGAGCAAATCCATCGATGCGCAGCTCCACAAGTCCCAACCAAGCAAGCCAGCGGCGACAGTGGCGAGGAACAAAACTTCACCAATTGACAAAAGTGAAGGAAAAAACCTCGAGAGAAACCAGGCTCGGTTGGGTACGACCATTTCTCCTGTGGCCAAAGGTCTTGTGCAGAGCTGCGGTCTAGGCACTATTCATTACCATTATTGTCATTAATTACTCAGCTCATGTCCTTAGTTCAAATTCATGTTTAGTTCATATTGAGAACACAAATGAAAACATTTGAGATGAAATCTGAGAGCTCTCTGACCCTCAAACCGCACGTCCAGAAGAGCGCAGTGCACTGTATGTGTGTCGCACTGCTGACGTTTAACCCAGAGGCCTGCGCGACTTCCTCTCATTTAAACAAAGCGTGGGCACATCTGAGGTAAACGTCAGCAGTGGACACACACAGTGCAGGACAGAGCTCTCATGGTGTGATGATTTGATTTCGTCTCAAATGTTTTCATTTGTTTTCTGAAGATGAGGAAAGGTGTCAGGGGTTTGGAGTGAAACTTCTTTAATGCAGAAAGAAAAACAAAAATATTTAAACAAAAATAATGACTTCAGAAGTCCTGTACTGCACTGGATGTGTGTCGCACTGCTGACGTTTAACCCAGAGGCCTGCGCGACTTCCTCTCATTTAAACAAAGCGTGGGCACATCTGAGGTAAACGTCAGCAGTGGACACACACACAGTGCAGGACAGAGCTCTCATCAACACACTGACACTGAAAAGTAAGATCTGAGGGGTTTGGAATGACATGAGGGAGTAATTAATAACTTTAATAGTCTTGTGAAATTTCTGGAAATGCTGCTGTTCTCCACTTTCTCGCTTCTTTAGTGTTTTCTAAAATGAAGAAAAACAACACAAAGTTATTTAAGCAGTGATATGAAGGGCTGTCAAATAAGACTTGTGAGAGCAGAAGAGGAAACAACAGGAATAGCTTGAAGGAAAGAAAGACTGAAGATGTACTTTTGTGCTCGGTGTGTTCCTCTACATCCTGGCGTCTAACAGCTCCATTAGATTTGGGGTTGTTAGATTGAACCACTGGTGCTCTTCTAACTGATGTAACTTCAGCCGCTCAAGTGGACAGCGGATGAAACACTGGGAAATCAGGTCCTGGCATGCTGAAAAGTGACACAGAGAGTGTGAAATATGTCTGCATACTCAAGATTCATGAACGTGTTTAAATCTCACTACATCAAATTACAAAACATCCACAATGAAATCACTTTAATATCTACAGTAACTATTATATTTAATCCTTTTTTACTCGTGACTGACATATTTTATTCTGTCACTGAGGCTGAGATTGTTCAGAGGTGTCTGCTTACCTGGAGATAACCTGGGGTGTATCTCAGCGGATGCAAACATTACTGAATCTTCGTCACGAAAGGGCAATTCTGCATGCAAGATTTCATACAGCACGATGCCAATTGTCCAGACGTTTACCGGGTCAGCATGGTATGTGGGATCCCTGAAAACCTCAGGTGGCGTGCAGTAAATAACTCCTATAAGAGAGACATTTTCAGAATTCAGTCATTTCATAAGACAATACTGTGAGCAAAGAAACTAACACAAAACGCCAACTCACCTCGATATTGATCGCTATTGAAAGGCTCGCTGCTAATTGGCCAAGCACAACCAAAGTCGATCAATTTGAGCTGTAATTGGGGTTGAGTCACCATGATGTTCTCCGTGTGGATATCTCCATGGAAAACTCCATGCTCAGTGCAGAACTTGACAGCTTGGATCAACTGACTCATTAACTGGCGTGATCGGTTTTCACCAATGTCCAATGTATCTGTGATGTACTGATCCAAGGTCTGGTATGACTCTGCGTACTCCAGACTGAGAATGAAGTTGTTCTCATTCTCAATCCAGTCGTGTAATCCGATGATGTTTGGACATTGCGGAGCATTCTTCAACTTAAGCATCATTGCCACTTCCGCAAGCACAGGTGTGGAATGACCATCCTAGAAAAAAAAACAGATTTCAAAGATATTACCAGAGCAGAATGACACAAAGTACAGAAACAAAATCTTCACGAAGTAAATAATCACTCAGCTCCATATTATGCTGAACACAAAAGAAGATATTTTGAAGAATGTTGAAAACCAGTAAGCAGTGACTTCATAAGTATTTTCTTTTTCTACAATGGAAGTCAGTGGCTCCCTGTTTCCAACATATCTGCTTTTGAGTTCAGTTTAAAGTGGTCCAGACAGGTACGGGACAAGTGAAAGACGAGTAAATCACATTTTCACTGTTGTGTGAATTATTCAACTTACAATGTCGAGATAATGGTTGTCTTCCTTCTTGTTGATAAACTTCAGGGCAACCTGAAAAAAACAAATTAAATTAAAGCCAACAAGTTTAATATATTCAATAATCAGGAGGAAAATATTGACTGAATGTAAAAAATAGTTCTCTACCTTTTCACTTTTCCGAAGTTTGTGAGATGCCACAAACACCTGGCCAAAAGCTCCTTCTCCAATCACGGCTCCAACTTCAAAGTCAGACAAATCAAATCCTGAAACACAGAAAAAGAGCAGGGAGATTTACTTGGATTGTCTGGTATGAAACGGATCAAATAAATGACTAATGAATCCTTTGAATCTGGATTTAATGCAATGAGCTGAAAGCAGTAACTTCTATCAGAAATGCAGGAGTAAACTGATTACTAATTTATATTAATTATGAGGTACAGAAAATAGAAGAAAATGATGACTTACCACGAGGGGGTCCAGAAGCCTCTTTAGGCTCCTCAGGAACCTGGCCTGGCAGACATACTGCCTCAGGGTTAGCTTCCTCCAGCTCTGGCTCGGGCTCTGACTCTGGCTCAGTTTCAGGTTCAGGTTGTGGTGTAAGATGCTGGACTATATCTGTGTCACAGCACAGGAAAGGGCGCGTTGCAGCCTTCCATACTCTCTTGAAGAAAGCAGAGACTCTTTTCCCTTTTCTTCCTTTTTTGGGTTTTTCTAAAATGAAGAAAACAAACAGAAACATCTCCATGAACAGAGCTGCAGCTACTAATTAATACACAACCAACAGCACAACAAATGACACTGTCTGATTTACAAGCTAAAAACAACAAAGCATAAAAATATCAGATGAACCAAATTCAGGATGACTCACCATCAGTCCCATCAATATCAGAGGGGTCTTGAACAGACGGAGGCGACTCAGGACAGGCCGAATCTGCATCCGTCATGTTCTTAATATTGGTGAGGCCATGGACACTGATTGGCTGAGGATCTTCCCAGATCTGGCCTGGCAGACACACCAGCTCAGTATCAACATGACCTGTCAGGGCCGTTGAGGACTCAGGACGGGCCGGATCTGCTGTTTGCTTGATCCTGGAGGGGCCCGGAACACTCAACGGCTGAGGGTCTTCACAGACCTGGCCGGGCAGCCACACCGGCTCAAGGTCTGCATGTGCTGCGACGGTCCTGGAAGGACCTGGAACAGGCAGATGCTCGAAATCATCGATATCCGACTGTGGTTCAAATGGAGCCACTCTGTTCCGGCCACAGCAAAGGAAAGGGCGCTTCACAGCCTTCCATGCTCTCTTGAAGAAAGCAGAGGCTTTATTCCCTTTCCTCCTTTTCTCTGGATTTTCTAAAATAAAGGAAATGAACAGGGAAATATTAGAAAACTCTTTAACCACAGGTTCAAAATAGACAAACTGCTGTAAATTAGACATATAAAAGACAATCACACAAAACAAACAACAATAATAAATGTACAATTATAATAGAAAATGTTTGAAAACTGAAATTAATTATGTGGAATTGCAAATCATTTCTATGATGTAAATGTAGAAATACAAATGAAAATGAAAGTCTTTCTCCAGAACTTCAGTTACAGAAACAGAGCTCTAGACATTTATTATTATGGAGGTGAAGTTGGTTTTATATTTGCACATTTGTTCATTTAACAGTCTCTATATTGTTTACCATGCTAGTTTGAATATTAAGTCTGAAACCGCATGTAAGTATGACTTCAAATCAACATTAGCACTATTTAACTGACTGTAAACACTGTTATATGATGATAGTCATTGGCTGTTAATATGATTTCCCCATTTAGATTTTGAAACAATATTTTTCTTTTATATTATTAAGGAGAAAGTCAGAATGTGTGAATATAAAACCAACTTTACCTCAATTGTATTAATTCATCCCTGCTTGAACAAAGAATTGAATATAATATTCTCACTCAGTTTGCTAAAATATAACAATTATTCCTCCACACTATCAAAAACTAAGAACATTACTGTGCAGGTCTACACAAAGGATTTAAATTAAAGTAATATTAAAACGTTTTTTTATCAGTAAAGTTAACAAGGCACAATTTCTGTTGAGTGGAAATGAGAAACTTAAAAGCCAGAATGTCAATACATAAAATATCAGCAGGGCTCAAATCACAGAGTCAGAAAATATTCAATATCACAACTACACTACACAATTACAAACACGAGAGGTTGAATATTTGACTCTTAAGTCAGTAATTCGCTTTTATGGCTATATTATATTATTATTATTATACTTTTTATTAAATAAGACGTGAAAATACACTGTTTTTGTAAACTGTCATCTCACCTGTTGGGCTTCTCATCACTGTAGGAGGTGTAGGAGAAGCCATCGTATCACTTTGATGATTATCGTTGACAAATACAGGCTTAATCAAATTAACTCGAGTAAAAAACGCAGCTGACGTGTTATTTGCCATTTGAGATGCAAAACAAGTCGCTAAAGTCGTTAATCACTGTTCACTGTACTGGTTCGTTTGTCACTCTGAGGAATTTCTGAACTGTGTTCTGTCTTATGACGTAACGGCATTCTATTTATGTCATCATCGATGACGTGAGATGGGTGGGGTCATCCAAGATGGCGCTCTGCTCGGTCAAGTTTTTTTGAGCTCCACAACTCAGTTACTGTCTTAGTCAGATAATAAATTTATAACAAATAAAGTGTGACACATACCCTGATGAAAGCTTCAGCAATTATTATCAAATTCTATCAGAAATATCAGTATAAACTGCAGCAGTACGAGCAGCACCAGCGACGATACATTCATGATCTTTTATCAATAAAGTATACAAACCTGAATTAAATGTATTTATTAATAAATTCACAAACATGTATTAAAGTTTTATATCACAGTCAATAATAAGTGGACATTTGTGCTTCACATGTAAAACGTTGAATAATAAATATGAAGGGTTGGGCTAAAATAGTCTATAAATTATTAGTCCACATAAGAAAGAGAAAATGTTTTATGATTTATTAGGCAAATAACAAACTGGACCGCACAAATAACCTCACTAGAAATTGTCCATCTGAATGATAAAACAATATCAACAGTAATAATTATAATAATGTCCTTCCCTTTTAATGCCTCTCTTGTAAATAAGTCAAATTCACTGATAATGACAATCATTATATAATCGCTAAAATATGATCATTATCAGTGGATTTGACTCGTTATATAAAACTCTATTTAAAACGTATTGATTTATGGACTACTGGAACATTATAATTTGATAATTTCTGTGTAATAAAAAATAAAACGAATTAAGTGAAATAAATTAATAATAAAATGAAATGAATACTTAAAGGATTAAAAGTAAAAATGATGAATGAAGAGAAAATGCTTCATATTAGCCTAAAGATCGTGTTGAACATGACTAGTTGGCTTTTTTGGCAGATGAAGGAAAGTCAGAACACATGTTTTGTGCTTATAGTAAATGTGTCTTGATTTATTTGGCACTTTACGTGTGTTTGGCTGTAAAAGCGCACCTACAGGTGTTTCTCTAAACAGGCGCAGGTCAGATTTTCTCCAGGTCATCATTTATTTCATTTTGTGTAAAAGAATACATTAATTAGACCTGTCCAGTGTCGTCTGGAGAGTGTCCCAGACCGCAATCTGAAGTGGTTTGAGCGATTGGATTAATATCAGATCAGAATAAAGCGAATGAAGTGAGCAGGTGTAAACAGCCTCATAACACGACGTGACGGGATCAGCGCCTTTTGCTGTGACAGTTGACGGCGGAGGACTCCGCTTGGTAGTAATTTATCGGACAGTTATTTTCCAAAATTGTAATGGCACAGCAGTCAAAAATGAATAGGGAAAGGGAGGTCATGTACGAGTAACGAGACAAATCAATAACGGCAAATATACAGGACGCCCCAGCCTAGAACCTGAACGGGACAGATTCTCATCTGTTAGGAAGTAACGTCAGCCTTACCCTGTTTTCCAGTCTTTTTTTAACATATGTTCAACATTTTGCGACAATGACGCTGCTGTCTGCTTTCTCTTCGTCTCTCTGGCTCTTTTCGACCCATAATAACGTTATTCACTATGAATGTCGCATCAAAGATTCAAATGTCAGTTACAGTTACCGCTCGCTTATGTCACGTGACTCGCGTCCATTAACGTGGCTTTGAGGCTCCATGAGATTCAAATTACTGGCCATAGTTATTTAAAAAATTACATTTATAAAAAAACAACAAAGGAAAATACACAAAATAATTAGGCTAAATCACAAAATAATCAGGCTAAAGCAGGGCATTATGAAAGGTCATGTGACTGATGTCCCTGACGTCACTTTTCGCGTAAACGTAAGGCCCGTTGAGAGACGAATGCATAAGTGCTTATGAACACCATATGATAAACACAATCAAACCCATCGCAACCTGTTGGTTGAAAGACGAGGCGAGTTTGTAGAATATTTCTGTGAGTATCCTGAGATTTCTGAAGCTGTTCGAAGATTTCGCCTATTTCACAAAATGGCGATCTAGACCGGAAGTAGGGAAAACTTTGTTCCGGTAGAGACTAAAAAGTAAGCTATCTTGCAGCGTACCTTTTTGTACTAGTTTCAAAAAGAAACAGCCATATTTTTCCTTTCATAGCTTTCTCATTAATGAAACTATGAAGTGTTTTGTTGTACTTTTTTTATTTTCACTTCGTTTTGCTTATTTTTCCTTAATTTACTTTGTTTTAAATGAATTTTCATATTTTATCTGGATTTTCTTGTTTTATTGCAGGTTGGAGGAGATTGTCCATGTCCCACATGGGTGAAGAAAGAGGAGGTGAGTGTTTTTAATTTGTCATTAGTTTGTCATTGGTTTGTCACTGAATGATGCTGTACGATGTTTGACTGATATGAAAAAGATCATAGAAGTTTACATAAAATAAACAATAAATAAATAAACGTTTTAATGTTTGTTTTTATTGTTTAAAACAATTATAATGATGGAAACTGCAGAGTTGCTCAATAAAAACTTCAAGTTCCTTCTGAAAGTGTGATAAAAGTGAGCAGTAAAATTGTTTCTGTGTGTGATTTATATTTAACCTCAAGCCATTCCAGACCCAGGAGTGCTGCTTTCACCCAGACAGCAGCTCTGGACACAGACACACCGGACAACACCGCTGAGCTTCCTGGATATTTGGCTCCTCTGCCTTCACATTTGGCTGATTCTGCATCCACAGACCAGAGGAAAAGGCAAAGCAGCAGCCAGCAAACACCGTCCACCTCTTCCCAGAGACCGGCCAAACGCTCTCGCAGAGGTCAGCACAGCTCAAATCTTCCAGATCTTCTGGCTCAGTTAGGAAATGATTTGTCATTGAAGACACTGCAGCATGTTTTCTCTTCTCTCTTCATTTCTTGTGCTCTTCTGTGTTGCAGACTTGTACCTGAAGGGCCCGTTGCTGGGACGAGGTGGATTCGGCTCTGTGTTTGCTGGGGTCCGCAGGTCTGATGGGCTGCCAGTAAGAGATCTTCTTCCCTCCTTCATTCAGACATGCTTTAGAAATGTTGCTGTCAGTAAATGTCATGTGTCTCCATCAGGCAGGTGTGATTTACTCTGCTTTTTCCGTCTGCAGGTGGACATCAAGTACGTGTCGAAGGACCGGACCCCCGAGACACTGAAAGTTGTATGTTTTGGTGTGAATCTGTGGTGTTTGCTGTGTTTGATTCAGTCCTGGATATAATGGAGGGTTTGTCCTGCAGGACGGTCAGGGTCGGCTGCCGCTGGAGGTGGCATTAAAGAGCCACATCACTTCAGCTCCTGCCTGCCCCAGTGTCCTGCAGCTGCTGGACTGGTTTGATCGTCCCAGATGCTACATCTTGATCCTGGAGCGTCCGGCTCCTTGCCAAGACCTCCAGAGCTTCTGTGAGGAGAACGGCTGTCTGGACGAGCATCTGGTCAAGGAACTGCACCGGGACGTCAAGCCAGAGAACCTACTGATCTCCACAGAGTCCCAGGACATCAAGCTGCTGGACTTCGGCTGTGGAGATCTGCTGAAGCGCTCGGCCTACAAATACTTTGCAGGTGGGTTTGAGTTACAGAAGGAAACGTTCTGTTGATGTTTGTGAACGTCTGCTGATCAACTAAAGGGAATTTGTCTGTACTGGAGCATTTGGAGCAGATGTTTGTGGTCTTCTTGTGTCTCTCAGGCACTCCTGCATTCACTCCTCCTGAGTGGTTTAGCAGACATCGCTACAATGCCACTCCAGCTACAGTCTGGTCAGTAGGAGTGACGCTCTACAACATCCTGTGTGACCGTTTCCCCTTCAGAGGCGCATAGAGGGTCACGTCCAGAAGCAGACTGACCTTTCTTAGGAGCTTGTCAACAGGTAAGAGATTCAGACACATTCAGAGATGGCGTGGCGAGCGAGCAGAAGTGTGTTGTTGTGTGTTTCTGAAGACATGGTTGTGTGTAATAGAGTGCCGTCAGCTGATTCGCTGGTGTCTCAGTGCAGCGCCGGCTGATCGGTCCAGTTTAGATGATCCTGAGCGCCATCCCTGGTTGCACTGAACAGGTAGCCACTGACATTACACTGATCTGAGTCCATCAGTCATAGCTTGG